AAGAAGCTGAATGGTCACTAGCTAGGCAGGAGAGGGATAGGCGAGGCTGGCAGGTAGAAAGAATAAATAGAAGAAATCTAGACTTGAAAAAAGAATGAGAGAGGAGGAGAAAATGAGGAAGAAAGAGAGAGATGCCCAGGGCCAGACAGACAGACACAGAAGACGCAGGAAAAGTAGGACATACAGAAAGAAAAAGCAAAACTCCCTGAGGCAAAAAGATAAAGAGAAACAAGTTAATTTAGGTTGAAAGAGCTAGCCCAAAATGAGCCTAAGCTAGGCTGAGCGTTCAAAACTAATAACAAGTCTCCATGTCATGATTTGGGAGCTGGGTGGCAGCCAAAGAAAAAAGAAAGCCTGCTACATGTCTGACGCCAGCGTGGTCTTCAAACTGAGTTCCAAGCCAGCCAAGACTATGGCAAGATGGTCCCAGAGAGAAAGAAGAGGAGAACAAGAGCCTCACCCGTAGCTGGTTGTTGGCATCCAGGGCACTGGTGGCATCGTCCAAGATAAGCAGGCGTGGCTTCCGGATCAAAGCTCGGGCCAAGGCCACTGCCTGTCGCTGACCCCCTGACAGCTGGTTCCCAGTCTCACCCACCTCTGCAGAGGGAAGAGACCAGCTGAGATAGAGACAGGTGTGTACACACACATGCGCACACTCACACATACAGACACACTCACATTCATACACAGAGAGATTCATACACAGAGACACTCTCAAACACATGCAGGCACACACACACACACACACACACACACACACACACACACGACCACCGGAGGCAGCTGGAAGGGGAGTTCTGAGGATGTGAACCACAGAAACAATAGTTTCAGCTACAAATTGAGATGCGAAGGGCGGGAGGACTTGAGTAACAAAGGCAGGGTTATCGGAGTCTGGGGTACCTGTGTCATAGCCCTCAGGGAGTCCAGAGATGAAATCGTGGGCTCCAGACTTCATGGCCACAGCTCTGATTTCCTCCATGGTTGGAGTCCGGATCAGGCCATAGGCAATATTTTCTCGGAAACTTCTTCCAAATAGCAGTGGCTCTTGTCCCACTGCGGCCACCTAAGGTGAAAGGTGAAGGGCCACAGGCAGGAACCATGGGAGTGTTATTGTCTAGGACTGCAGTCACAAGTAAGGGCACACCATACAGTCATGTGTCCTGCACACAGCCCCCACTGCACCCCCGGAGCTTCTGCAAGAGTTTTCACTGAGAATATCCTCCTGGCTTGGTCTCCTCCCCTCCCCTACGCTTGCTCCTCTCTCCTGCCCCTCCCTCTCCAAAGCCCCTCGCACCTGGTTGTGCAGGTAGTGGTGATCATACTGGACCAGGGGCTGGCCGTCCAGCAGCACCTGGCCCCCTGTGGGCTGGTACAGATTCTGCAGCAGGGCAGCCACGGTGCTCTTCCCGGACCCGTTGGGCCCCACCAACGCTGTCACCTTTCCAGGGTGCAGTGTGAACGTCAGGCCCTGGAGGCAGAGAAGCACATGGCAGGAGCTCCTCCAGCCTGGAGCCTGTCACTATTCTCGTGTGTGATGTGACATATTACCCAAGAGGAAACATGGGAGAATACTGAGCAATCCCTGGCCTCTGTGTGCTTGGACTTCTGGGATGACGTCATGGAAGGAGAAGAGAGAGAGGCTGGGGCAAATGCGTGGGCAAGAAGCATCACTGGGGAGTAAAACTGGAGGCTGAGCCATCCCAAGAAGTAGAAATAACATCTGCATCTCAAACGGCAGCTGGAGTTGCGTGTTGCCTTGCCAACTTCTTTGTCATAGGAGCTTTCTCTTAATTTTTTTAAAGATTTATTTGTTTAATTTTATGTGTGTGACTACTTCCCCAGCATGTGTGCATCCATGTCATGTTCATGCCTTGTGCCCACAGAGGTCCAAAGAGGGTACAGGATCCCCCTGGAACTGGAGCAGGTGGTTGTGAGCCACCATATGCATGCTGGGAACCGAACTGGGTCCTCTGCAAGAGCAGCACATACTCTTAGCCAGTGAGCCATCGCTCCAGCCCCAGAAGCCTTCTCTGTGAAGCCTTCTCTTGTCATTGGTAAACCAACCTGTGCTTGGGTTGAGTCATGTATAAACACACGGCTCTCATCGGCACTTTTGAGGGTTAGGAAGGAGCCCTGGTACGAAGATGGAAGCGGCAAAGGTAGGAGAGGGGGATTCAGGTTCGGTGGGCAGTACCTGAAGAACCTGAACATCGGGATGGTTTGGGTAGGCAAAGGAGACGTCCTGGAACTCGACAAGACCTTCCATGTTTAAGGGTGCCAACGAGCCACTGAGTGGAGAACAAGGAGTCCGGTCCAGGTATTCAAATATTTTCTCTGAGGAGCCCACAGCCTTCTGCATCCAGGGATAGATGGAGAGCAGAACCTGCATAGCAGAGTGGAATGTGGGTGGGGGCAGGACGGAGCAGGAAAGCAGGTCTGACCTGACCTGACAGCGTTCAGTGATATGAAGAAGCGGAGAATCGTGAACCTGCACAGATGGACAGACAGAGACAGCCATGGGCAGGGAGAGACAGCCAATGTCAGACAGAGACAACCAGTGCCAGACAGAGACAGCCAATGTCAGACAGAGACAGCCAATGTCAGACAGAGACAGCCAGTGCCAGACAGAGACAGCAATGGGCAGGGAGAGACAGCCATGGGCAGGCAGAGACAGCCAATGTCAGACAGAGACAGCCATGGGCAGGCAGAGACAGCCATGGGCAGGCAGAGACAGCCATGGGCAGGCAGAGACAGCCACGGGCAGGCAGAGACAGCCATGGGCAGGCAGAGACAGCC